ATAATTTTGATATCACATCAAAGTGGATGCACTACAATCATGTCGAAAATTTGATAATTTGTATTAATGATAATTTTGTCCTTTTTAGCAAGTAATATTACACCATATTTTCGACATGATTGTAGTGCATCCACTTTGACGTGATATCAAAATTATTTTTTTGCTGTGTAGTGTTTATCGGTAACGTTTAAGCACGATTTTTCAGTCAATTTTGGAAATTTGAGAGCCATTGCAATAATTCCTCCTGACCACGTTGGATTTTGCACGTGAGTGTGCAGATTTTTTTCACGACTGTCACGTTCCATCTTCGATAACTTTTGAACAATTAAATGAATACTGATGACATTTTGTAGACATTTTTAACTACTAAATAAAACATCTTTTGGATCAAAACGCTGTCAACAGTTTCTTGCTACGACAACTAGAAGCGCTACAGTAATTAAAAATAAGCGGCCAAATACTAACTGGAACAGACTTTATTCGAAAAGATCTATGAGGCACAGACATTTTTTTTCTCAGTCTACAAGTAAACTACGCTTTCTAGAGTTCGAGTAATTTAAACTTAGATTTGAGTCGATCTTATATACACAGCAAAAAAATAATTTTGATATCACGTCAAAGTGGATGCACTACAATCATGTCGAAAATATGGTGTAATATTACTTGCTAAAAAGGACAAAATTATCATTAATACAATGTATGAACTGACATTACGCTGCTTTCACTGCATTTGTTTATTTATGTGGTCATAAAAATTACATGAAATTTTCGACATGATTGTAGTGCATCCACTTTGATGTGATATCAAAATTATTTTTTTGTTGTGTAAGATTCAACTTTCCACCACCTAAATATGGAGAAATCGACAATCAAAAGAGCAATTTATAAGCTTATTAATACGATTCTAAACGCTTCGTGCTCAAAAAGTGTTGATGAATCAGTGTTGACAATTCAGATAGAAGGAATATCGAAATAAAGATAATCGAGAAATGGAGAGTAATGTACAACGAAGCCCAGAACGATGAATTAGCGCTAAACACTAACACTGTTGTAACGATTTTACAAATACATTTTTAAAATAAGATGTATCAAGCAACATATTCATTACATTTTTCAAAATAATTACACAACTGGGAGAGAAAAAAATGGCTTAATATAACACAATTTGCTGATACCAACCTTTTTGCCTTTCCCTTACACCAAGGTGTACCGAAAGGCTATGATATCACTTGAAAAACACAATTTCGTTACGAATGGCATATCCCAATAGACTCATCTCCATGGGATCGGAAAATGTTTCTGTATGTGTGTATATATGTATGTATGTATGTATGTATGTATGTACGTATGTTAGTTCGTATGAGTGTAACTCACTCAATTTTTGCATAAATGGCTGGACCAAATTGAGTGGATCAAGTTCCAGAAGATGTGTTTCAGATCCCCATAGATCGCTATTAATTTTTTTTTTTTTCCCGATCGGAATTATGGTTCGAAAGATACGAGAGAAAGATTGAGAGATTGGAAAATTCGCAAAAGATTGATATATCAAAAATTCATCATGCGACACTTCAAATCACATTAGAATTTTACTATACGATCAATGACATGACATGCACCAAAATGCATCGTGCGATACCTCAAATCACATGGAAATCAACATAATAATTACTGCAAGTATTTATATTGATTTTCCATAAAATCTCATCGAAATTTATTTATGGAAGAGAAAAAGTGCGTAACGGCTGATCGAGAAAGAAGCGGTGGATCGAATCGGATCATCGACGTATTGATTCCGACCAGCGGTTTTGGATAAAGCATCGGAACGATTTGAACCAGCAGTGCCTACACAAATATAATACTGAGACAAAAATTATAGCTTACCTGATCCTTTGAAAAAGTTCGTTGTGGGGTTTCCTCTAGGGTTCCCTTTGATTTTTCTCGATTTTTTACACATTTTAACGACTCTTATTCAAGTTCAAAACGGTGAAAATGGCTGCTTCGTTCAGCATTAAAATTGAATCCGGGGTAAGGTGTTCTCGAATAAAAAGATGAAATAAGATGGAAACACACTGTCCGTGAGTTGACTTATCCAAACAAACCGTCAAATTGTATGGAAAATGTTCGTTTTGGATACAACATGGCAGCTCATTGACAGGTCTATAACTATGACCGTCTATAACAGCGACAGCTCTTTCTTGTGGGGGATCTGAAAACACGTGAATTTCTAATGCTGTATGTATGTATGTATGTAAGGTAGCCACCATCCCTTCGAAGATCTTGTCTTGTATGCAGCTCCACTTAATAGCAAGATCAATTTGAGCTACCGATCTGAATTCACAATATCGCTGTATGAAGGGCCAAAAACGGTGGGGTGGACCCGTAAGCAGAGACACTTACGCGAAATCCACGGGAATTTAAGAATCTCCTTCCAACGATACGATCCAACAAATCGAATAACGCAATTCGCAATACTTATTAAGCTTCCTACAGGATGGTTTGTTAAGAAGGGCGCGTCAATCTCACTGAAACTGTTGGAGTAGAATTCACACCATCACAATCGAATCGGTAGGATAAAGAAAATGATAGTGTTTATTCCCTCCTAGACTCCGGTTGTCATACCACTCCAATCGTCCAGTTTCAGGTCAAATGATACCCTGATGCTCCCTCCCAACTCAGTATTTATTTATATATATAGTAAACATATGTAATGGAGAAATGAAATATATCAGAACATTAAAATACGTAATAATGAAAATACATTTATATGAATAAAAAAACTGGTATTCCGCAATGAAAATAATAATTATTTTACATACAATATGATGCAGCTCTATGTCTCCTCAGCTCCCAATAAGGAAGATGTAACCCTGAAATTTCCAACAAAAGACACAGAAAAGGAGATTTTGTTAGTAGGTTGGGTTCGTTGGATCAGGATTCACCTTGATAAGTGATGCGACCATGGTTTTAAATGAATCAGTGTTATCATGCATTATACTTGGATTTGCCCGAAGCCAAAACCAAATGGTGTATCATTGGGCCTTATTACGGGTGTCACTACACGGTGATAAGAAAGTGATACTCAGAATAAGAGCCGTGATTACCGTACAAATCAAATGTGAATCACTTCACCGTGACGACAAGTGACAACTTTTCACCGTGATGTGACATCCGTAATAAGCCCCCTTATAATATAAATCTGAAGACGTTCCATCATCGAAATGCTGAAAATGAACATAGAGCATGAGCATGAGCAAAATTGATCGCCCGCGACTGCCAACACCAAAGAGCTGAAAACCAATTCAAACAAATCAAATCAACAGACAAAACCAGGGTGAAAGCTGTAAGAGTGAATCATTACAGTATAAATCTAGTGATGTTCCGTCATCAAAAAGCTGGAAGAAAACTCAAATAATTTAAATCAATAGATCCAGTCTGAATGAAGGCTGCAAAAAGAGAATAATTATACAGCAATGACCCCATTTTGTCAGCTAGCAAAGTATGCGTATCTTAAACATTCATCTTGAAGGAGGAAGGTATGAAATTACAATTATGTGGAATTATTGAAAAATAACAGTCTGATGCGCGGAGAGATTGACAGGATCGGGTCATAACTGTAATGTGAATATTAGGAAGATTTATCATCATCAAACTATTCTTGAATTGACCTGGAAGAATGCTTGTGAATAATTGTTATACAGATAAATTAAATTGATAAACTAAATGGTTCAAACAACAACTCCAGCCTGTAAAAAAGCTGAAAATAGGGAATCTTTACAATGTGGATCCCCGACGGTCTTCTACTCAGTAAGCAAAAGCGGCAGCCACCAGGCTAGTCGATCTGCTCAATTTAAATATTGAAACCTTATTTTATGAAGTTCTTAAGAATACCAATTGAAACACAATGTAAACAAATAAAAGTTAAGAGTCTCATCCGAATCAAATGATTCCAAACGATACGCATTCATAGAAATTAAGTTTAAATAGACAAAAGTAGAAAAATGGAACAATCTCACCAAATCAGTCCAACTGAATCCCTTGCAAGCAGCTATGTCACGCTTGGTGTAGTAGCTCCGATCATAGACCCGCCCTACGGGGATCAATCCTCTGGTCGAATGTAGTCAATTGCTCCATGACGCGAACACGAAGCGACCGCTCACAAAATCATACAACGCGTAAACAAACTGAAATCAAAAACTATCACACGCGACGCCACAAATTTCTGTACCGGGAGCACAAGCGAAGAAAAAAAAACAACAACGCAGATAGCGACACTTCTTCTGATCCGTGAATTTCTAATGCTTGTTGTAAAATGCATTGCACGTGTAATTTGATTAAAGATGTAAAACAGTGTAACCAAATAAATTTTTTTTTTTTTAATGATAACAAAAGTCTATAAATTGTATCTGTAACGAAAAAAATGTCTGTGAAAAAAATAAAAGTCTGTAAATACACAGACATGTCTATAAATCTGGCATCTCTGCTGCCATACAATGAAACCACTAGAAACGGATCCTATTCTGACTGAGGAGGCTTATTGGATAGCGGAAGATAAAGTGTTTATTGTGTTGTAACTTTTGACTCTAGTTTTACGATGTTTAGGATAGTGAACAAGAATCCTCCGCTCTGTAACGTTAGTTCGATTGAGCCTTGTCATATTAATAAATAAACAAATTGAAAGAACCCTAAAAAATCCATAAATGATACTAGGGCGGTTAATTTGGGATAGTTCGGTAGAACATCAAATTGAACAATTTTTACTAAATATGCTTCAAGGGGGCAGGATCAAAAGTAGATTAACAACCAAATGTTTAAAATTAAGATGAAGTGCCCTTCAGGCTTAATGTCGTCAAATATACCACCAATTGTTAAAATCATAATCATATAAGCTAAGCTTAAACCAGTACCAGAGCATTAATCGTTCACCCATTCAGTCTTAAATCTACGAGTCAAATGAGCTTTTCTCGGTATAAGAAGTACACTACAAAATCCACAAAACCTTAAGTTGATAATTTTATACTTTATTGGTCCTTATATCGTTAAACAGTACAGACATTTCCTTACAAAACTAAATTTTCTTACACACGACAGATAAATCAAAAGAATTCGAATATGATTTTTTTTTGGAGCCGCAATCATCACAATTGTCGGCCATCACAAAAATCACACTTAATTGGTACTTGTTGTCCTTTGTCTAAACTTTGCTCTTAAACCTAACATCTCAACTTTGAAAAAGGAAATTTACGAAACGTTCACTAATCGAGAAGTGGTCCCAAACTGAGAATAATCTCAAAAAAGAGTTACGATTATGTGCCGGAAACCTATCGAACGTGCAACGGTGGGCAACTTAACGAGCTAAAATTACGCTAATAATCCGATACTAGCAGTATACATAATGTAATCAATACTTGGTGAAGTGAAAACACATCATTCGAGTATATCTAAATATGCGTCAGCGTGGTTAAATATTTGAACTTGTCTTCAATAATCCTACAGTCGACTTTCATATCTTTGTCCTTTTTGGTTTACACAGTGAAAGATCATCTTACGAGCGGGGGAATAAATTTCGAACGAACGGAATCCATTCCGTTAGCGGCGAGCAATGTTCCGCCGGAATTTATGGTAGAGCATTTCCATGGTCCGAAACTCCGGCTCATAGATGTCCGGCAGTTCCTGATCCAGCGCGTGGCAGTAGACCATGAAGACCGACCGGGACCCGGTCTGCTTGAACTCGAACTCCATCAGCTGCTTGACAAAGGCCACGTTGGGTCGAATTTGAGGCCTCCGGGATTTGACATGCTGGTAGGCATCCTTCAGACTCATCCGATGGTACTTGATGAGGTAAGCCAGGCACAGGGATGCCGACCGGCTGACGCCGACGACGCAGTGCACCAGGGTAATACCGTTCCGTTGCGATTCCTGGTGGAGGGCGGGGGAGGAAACGATGAATAGTTAGTCAGGGAATAGTTTAGTTTTGACGCTGCGTTGGACTTACCTCTTCAATCCGATCGGCCACCTGGTTGAAGTACCGATCCAGATCCGTTTCGCGGTTGTCTTTGACCGGTACCCGCAGATAGCCACAGGTTTCATCACAGGGCAGTGGAGTGTTTGGCAGTTCCGATTCAGTCGTTGCATTTATCACCAGCGTTACGCCGAGTTGCTTCATGGTGGGGACCGTGGCCGCGCTTCCGCCGCAGAGATACAGATTCCGCAACAGCTTCGAGACTGCAGTGATGGAATATCTGTGGAGGGGGGGGAGAAAAGAAACGACGCTCGTCAGTCTCGGCTGTAATAATAATAATTCCCAGACGGAATGGTGGTGAAGTGATGGCACGATGCCAACGGGTGGATGGACGGAAGATCAAAGGTTGGAATTTCGCGAATGGTGACCTCGACGGAAAGGTGTCAATCATACAGACGGAAGCGATCCGAGAATGGTCTTCTATCACCGCAGTAGGTATTAATAGCAACCGAGGACCAGGCGTCTCCATCGGAATGCTCTTTGTTCATGTGGCGCGCCGTGCATGGCGCCCTGGTGCTCATTTTCGAGCGAACGAGTATAGGAATGGAACGGAGCTTGACAGCGGGAGGTTAATTACTACTTTTACGATTGAGACCGTACAGCTCGGCACATGGTCGCAAGAGTTGACGATTGGGGGAAAGGAATTTCACACGCGAATCGAATGAGTAATGTGGAGCAGTTTGGCCTCTACTGGCCGGGCGGAACGCGCTAGTGTTTGTGTGTTATTGGAAAATGGGGACGACGCGACTGTTCGGTGCGAGCGGTGGAAGGGAAATTCTGCCTCACCGGAATGTGCTTCAATGTTTGACAGACGTATGAAGCTTGAATTGAAGCACGAGTACCAGATGGAGTGCGATATATTGAACGGATCGGTGTTTGAGTGATTGGTTTGGTGGTAGGAGAATGAGTGAATGTATGATGAATAAATAGAACCTTGACGAGTGGTGTTCGTACTTCAATCTACCGATCTTCAGTTCTAGAATCTAGTTTTCCTCTCTGCATTTCGAAACCTCGGACGGATCAGTGGTCAAAAAGCAGTACATTAGTCAAAGTCAATTAAGGTCTCCCCTCTAGATGCGAGAAAAAGACGGTTTGAAGTACTTTACTGCACATGAACAACACACGGTGCAAGGCAGCATGAATAATTGCTGCACACCTGACCAAGTGCAGTCATACTCTGTACGAGTCGATGGGCGTATTTGCTGATTTTCATAGTTCATTAACCGAAAATAATTTTCCCTTCATCTACAAAGACCAACCACGAAGAATGCGGCCAATGCAAACGAACGGATGTTTTAATTAGCTGAAATTGTAATTCGATCGAATGATCAAAGATTGTTTACGGAGTTGTTGGCCAACATCCGATGAAGGTAGCAGCTCTGCCGAAGAGGATAATACATCAACGACTTGACTAGAAAAGGAGATGGAAGGAAATTTGGCACATAAGCAACGGTTAGCATTCCTCGTCAGAGACAAACAAACGATTATAATTTTGTGCATTCCTGCATTTCGAATCCCAATGGATTGCAGTTCGTTTCACCGTTCAGGACCATTGCAAACTGTTCGTAACGGCGGGGAATGTTGTGTAGAAACAATTAAATCCTTGCTGTTCGTTGATCGTTATGGTGTGTCATATTTCGCTAATTATTATATTAATCGACTACGAAAACCTCTCCATCCCCATCATTTGTAAGGAATGAGGAAAGGTCTCGAATACCACCACGAATTCTTCGCGTGTCGGTTGCAATTTAACGTTAATAATTCCCCCTTTCAAGTGAACTTGTTGACATAGAGTACGTAACTTAACAGCGAAGGGGAACTGGGTGTAATATGAGCCAGCGGGTTTATATCACCATCGACCTTTTATTGAAATGAAAAATTAACAGTCCACCCAGCAGTTCTGAATGAAAAATCAATAAATTGTTGGAAATGCTTAACAAATATAACCAACGGGAGAATGGTAAAGGAGATGATCAATTCGATTCGTACCTTTCTCAAAATTGACCTTTGCTCGCTTTCTACTCTCTATATTCAATTTTCACACTGACCACTTTAAGTCTGATGTTTTCAACTATGTAAACCGTTAACTTTACGCATGAAGTAATACAAACATTTTTATTTAAAGCAATAAATTGTGCTTGAAAAGTCCATGCAATCTTATTACTCCGCTGGTCCTCTTTACAACATTTCCCCTTACATCAAGAAAGTTTTTCGCTACTGACTGTTGCTTAGAATGTAGCAAACGACATCGAAGGAATCTGCAGACGAAATAAAATTGGGTAGCCTCTCACATAACGAACGAAATACGTATGTACGTACAGTCGTACGTAAATATCGTCACGCCAAAAATAACGAAGCGTCGCATTTCGTGTTCGTTAGTTAGCCAACGAGCGTCGGAACGGAGAGTGGATTATTTTACCCACACCTGCCCAGTGTGCTGTTTTGGGTGAAAAGTTATGTAAAAGATACAATCGCGAATAGTTATCCGACATCAACCGGTGTTTGCTGACACGGCATGTTACATGGTAATGACGTCATGACATTTGGTTACATGTTTACTCTCTATATATATATATATATGTATACATTTTTTTTTGGATGGGTTACGGGCCAATATCACCGGAAATTCAAGAACGAAAGTGAAGGTGGGCCCGGCCACTCAAATTATAAAAGCAGAACTGTAATCTGCAAGGATATCGCAGCAGAAACAGACCCATGTTACCGTTAGGGTATAATATCGCATACTTGCTTGCTTGATTAAAGGTTATTTGTTTTCTGAATATTATTGAGTAAGGTTTTTCGAATAATTGTTATTTATATTTCAAATGGATTCCATGCAATATTGTTGAGCTAAATTAATAGCTAGGAATAGAATAACTGCAAACACACTAAGAATAAATTAAAAACATTTAAAATCCAATGGAAAATAAAACCAAGAACAAAGCTTCTAAACTGTTTAGTACACCCAATTTAAACACACTAAAAATGCTGCGAATAAGGAACATCCAGAAAAGGAGCGTTAAAGAGAAATTTGAGAAAATTCGGAAAAGAGACAGGCTACTGGGTTCACGTTCGCAGAAGATTGGTCTTTTCCACTCTAGTCATCGTAACTAAAAGAAGTGCTCTTCAAAAGCAAAAAATAAGTGTTAGAATAGAAATTTAAACGATAGTTGGATAGTTGATCAGTCATAAACAAGTTGCTGCTTTATTACCGGAAGTGTGCTACTCGGGTAGGTTATACTCGCCCACTCCTTCGTAAACCCAACAATTACCCAATATTATTGGCTTAAGCTGTGACCAGGATCATCCTCCGTCGTTATTGAACGCAGATGAAGTTCTCATTAGTCCCAAACCAGAACCAAGTCCTACCAAATGATCCAAGAAAAAAGTGTCTCAACGAACGCCGATCATCCACATCGCATCAGATCCCATTCGCCCACCACAAGCACTGCAAGTACACAAGAAAAACTGTAAGTGTTAGTTTGGTTTGGTCAGGTTGAATAGTGATACTAATGCCTAAAGTTCGAGTTTGTCGGTCGATTAAAAGAGGCCTTGAGAGCCCACCCTCAATGGTCCCCATTGCTTAGACTAGGGATCAAGGGCTTATCAGGAACGTCCGGTCGACTCCCTAGTAACACCCATGATCCCTGATCGGAGACAAAACAAAGAAATTACAACAGTAAACAGAAATTTTACCAATTCCTAAAAGTGAGCTAATGATTCTAAGGGTTGAAAACCATGTGGCATTGGATCATCAAAATGGTGTTGGTCAAATTTATGATTTTTTTTAATAATGTATCGACAATTACATCCGGACAGATTCGTGAATGATTTCTCTATCATTTGGAACACGCAACATTGTATCATCTTCAGTTATTTATGTATAGTATAAATTCTGAGTTATTAGTGAACATAATAAAACACCCTCACATTATGAGATTCTATTGAATGATACCGGCCAAGATTTGATGAAACATTATTTAAAAAAATAAATAATTCATTTTCATTTGACATGCATATTTTCTTGGAAATTTACCTTTGCGTCTCTGACGTATTTTTCTGTTCTAAATGTTGTAGTTAATTTGGCTTTAATTTTCTCACTTTTTTTTACGGATTTAAAGCAAACATCCTGCACATAATCGAGAAATTACAAGAGTTTTATAAGTCACACTTGTTGGTCACGTCGCGGTTGTGTATTGACACGGATATTCCTTGGGTTCTGTCCAATGATGAGACATTTCCATATTTTTTTTCTATTTATAATACGAACCTAGCACTTTTCGTTGTCAAATCATGACCGAATCGTATATATGTGACATTGTGGAACATGCACGACTTATTACTATGTATCAGTGGTGTCCCGTAACCTCACTTTCTACCTATGCACCAACTTTCAAAACCAGATTTAATGCCATATTCATACTCGAATCGGTTGAAAAATACACTTAATATTCTAGTTTACTCGATATCTATCCATTGCAAGCAATATTTTGATAATTGTTTATGTTTTGAGAGTTGGTGCACAGATAGATTGAGGTTAAGGAAACGCCACTGCTATGTATACCGGAAATTAAAGGTTTTCCAAATCATCCAGGACATCAATTGATTTGTTCTGCTAGATCAACCAAGACTGCAATAATGTCTGTAGTATCGAAAAATGTCCAATCAGATTCAAAGTGTCTATGTGGATCATGCATGATCTATTTCCGAGTAATCCAGATGCTCAAGGTTCTTCAAATCGTCCTGGAGTTCAGATAATTTGATTTGGATTGTGAGATTGGGACAATATTTCCAGGCAGATGTGGATCATGCATGAACGATTGTCATGTTTACCAGATGTTTTAAGTTCTCCAAATCGTTTTGGAGTTCAGATGATTTATTCTACTAGATCAACCATGACTGGGATAAAGTCTGTAGTATCGAAATATGACCAAACAGATTCATAGTGTCTGTATAGATAATGTTTAATTTATTTCCACGTATACCAGATGATCTAGGTTCTCCAAATCGTCCAGCAGTTCAGATGATTGGTTTTACTAGATCAACAAAGACTAGGATAATATCTATATTCTAAATCCTAGAACATTTGGCATACACGGAAATAGATTGGCATGATCCACATAGACACTGCATGTTTGGGCATATTTCGATACTACAGATATTGAATTAGTCTTAGGTGATCTAGTAGAAAAATAATCTGATCTCCAGAATGATTTCAGA